TGCCCCGTCGGGCACCCGCACGGCGCCCCCGACTCCGCCATTGAGTGCGGCAGCGCACCCACACGACAACGCCGTTCCTTTTCAAGACGCTGATGAGCAGGACGATGACCTGTTCAGCTTCGGTGGGGGATCGGACGCTTTGGACGACGGACCAGCCAGCGAAAACCCCGCCCTGTCGGGAAACCTCTCGACCCCTACTGCGACTCCGTCCCCAAGAGCGATAACGCCCACATACGATGACATCGGCCACCGCCAAGATGCCGACCATGACCTGGGCGACCCCCGAGGACTGAGTGGCATTGAGGACGCACCGCCGATACCACACGCTGCCGACCATGCCGCCCCACCGAGACGCCAACCTTCTACGCGACCGACCTCAGCGGCCTTGCACGGCATCACGACTGGTCCCACCGCGCAAACCACTCCGCCTCCCCACCGCCGGCAGCCAGCGGGGGCGGCTTCAGCCCCCCCGCAGGGTACTAAACCAGACAGGCCCTCGTGCCCCATCCACGCTTCCTTCGTTGCTGAGCGAGAGGAAGCGGCTCCCCTGACCTCTCGGGGCGCGGCCCTAGCGGCTCCAGCCCTGGGGTCGCGCCGGCCCCTCCAGTCACCCTTCAAGGGTGACGGACATCAGCGTACAGGGTCCCGCACTACGCTAGTCCACCATATGGACAGGCGTACCGAGGACCTCGCCTCTGTCTCGAGGCCCTCGGCTGCTGGCACTGAGCAGCCACCCCTCACCGACCGCGAAACCGAGCTGTCACAGGCTATGGCTGCCCTCCAGCAGAGGTGCTTAGATCTCGCCGCGGACCTCGCCGCCGCCCAAGCTCGTCAAGGCCCTCTACTCCAGCGCCTCCACAGTGCTGGGCGAGCCTTCGCCGAGCTGCTCACGGCCTCGCCCGATGGTGCCGTGCCGTCACTCAACATCCAAGCTATGTTGTCATCGTTCCGCGGCGCTCCACCCGGTGCCCCGCGCTAATCTCCTCCTTTCTGCCTGCCCGTGTGTACGCGTGGCTCCGCGTCCACGGCGTCAGGGCGTGGGGGCGGGGGGTGCCCCGTCACTGCGCGCCGCTTAGCGGCCAAGCGCCCAACAGGCGGTCCGCCAAGCCGCCTAGCCACGTGCCAGCACGTCGCCTTTCTTGTTGGGGCCTTTTTCCTCACGCGGTCTGACAGGTGAGATCATCATCGTCTGTCCGCCGTCTGTAGCGTCTGTCGCACTGCGCCGGGGGAGGGGGTTTTTGTTGCCCGCCCTCGCATCTAAAGGCTGCACCGCCGCAAATAGTGCATGCGAGTTGTCGCACCGCAGTGCGCCTCGCGGACGGACCCTGGTCCGCCTACTTGTCCGATCTCTCTCTCTCGGGTTGTCGCACCGCAGTGCGCCTCGCGGACGGACCCTGGTCCGCCTACTTGTCCGTTCTCTCTCTCCTCTCTCTTCTCTCTCTCTCCTCTCATATCTCCTCTCATATCTCCTCTAACTCTCTCCTCTACTCTCTCATCTCCTCTCTCCTCTCCTCCCTCCTCTCCTCACTCTCCTCTCTCCTCTCCTCTCCTCTCTCTCTCTCTCTCTCTCTCCTCTCTCTCGCTCTCTCCCCCCCCCCCGCGCCCCCTTTTTTTTTTTTTCTCTTATCTCTCTCTCTCTCTCTCTCCTCTCCTCTCTCTCCTCTCTCTTCTCTTTTTCTCTCTCTCTCTCTCTCCTCTCTCTCCCCTCTCTCTCTCTCTCTCTCTCTCTTTCTCTCTCTCCCTCCCCTCCCTCCCTCCCTCCTCTATCCCTTCCCCCCTCCCCCACCTCACTCCCTCCCTTCCATCCATCTCTCTCTCTCTCTCTCTGACATATATATATATAACACACCAATCTCTCTCCCTCTCTCTAGTCTCTCTCTCTTCTCTCCTCTCTTCTCTCTCTCTACTTTCCACGCCTCTTCTCTCTATATCAGCTTTCCCGCGTCATATTGCAAAGTCTCCCCCTCCTCCTCCCCCTTCTCCTCCTCCTCCTCCTCCTCCTCATATGTATATATATATACCATTGCACGTCTATACATATATATATGTATGTATATATATGTATGTATATATATATATGTATATATGTATAGATCCATATGTGTATATATGTCTATATATATATATATATGTGTGTGTATAAGTATGTATATATACATATATATATGCATATATACATATATGTATGTGTCTATATATATGTGTATATATATACAAATACATATATATACACATATATATACGTATATATGTATACACATATATAAATATATGTATGTATATTTATATGTATATATATATTCATATACGTATATATTATATACATATACACACATTGACATAAGCTCATGTCATTCCACGCAGGGTTCGGAACAACCGCAGGTTTGCGAATGAGCGATCACTGCAATTGCTGAAAGGGTCTCGGCCGCAAAAGCTTTCACGTGGCCGTTCCTGTTAGATGTCTGAACTCTGTCTTGAAAGAATGTCGCTGGCAACTTCTGAAAGCGGGATGTGTTTGACGACAAAACTTGGCATGAGAAAGCATCCAACTGCCCGAGCGAGACATTGTGATCCACCAGGGTTAATGCGAAGCAATTTACATGGTATTGTCCGATGCCGCCAGACGCGCACACCGTGTGCATCCAATCCCAATAACACGTCGAAAACGGCGGCACGTGTGGCCGCAGAGAAATGTCGTTCAGCAAAGAATTTGGTTCGTGATTCATTCCATACCACTGCTCCAATCTAGCGAATTCCGATTTGCCAAGGACCCCCGCCTTCGCGGTTAGGTCATCGCGCATCTGCCAAATGGATGCGTCATCATGCATGTCAAAGCTTGCAGGCATAGCGCGACTGTAATGGACCAAATATGAGCTATTGCGCAACTTACTTTCGTTGACATTGACCATCCGCTGCCCCCGCTGGGGGCGGGGGGGGGGGCATTCGAATTGAATCTAACCCCCATTCCCCTCTCCCCTATTCCCCTTCCCCCTGCCTCAAAACAGCCCTGCCCTCTTTTTAAAAGAAACGTAAGGGCGCGGGTATGGCCACGTGGCGGGCAAGGCGGCGTGGCGGAAACCGATTTACGTTTTTGCAACTGGAACAACAGCTGGTCCCCGCCGCCCCTTTGACATATTTCGCCTCCTTGTGTGCTTTTTCGTCCTGAATCATGCAGAGGAGTTTGGACGTCACAACATACAGGGCCCCGCGACCATCGCTCAACCTGAACCCAGTGGAAAAACACAGGCGGCTTGTAAAGAACATGTGAAACACTGCTTTCAAAACGCCGCTGTATTTACCTTTCACCTGCGACAACGTAGTGTATGGCAACACCCCCACTGGAAACCATCCGTGCTCACTAGAGCGGTACCACTCAGGGAGGTCAGTGAACACAAAATAGATACTTAAATATTTTCCAACGTGGTCTGGCCTGAGCTGATTGCCCCCAGTCGTTTCATCGCCCCACACAGCAATCTTAGATTGTTTGGGCGCGCCGCCCACTGGGCCAATGTGCGCGTGGAGAAACCGAGCCCACAAAGGATGACTGGCGCACAAATGGGCGAGCAGTGCACTCGGCGAAGCCACAGACCATTGAAACGTGCTGCCGTCTTCCATTGGCAGGGGTATTCGAATCACTACAGGGCCGTTTCGGGAGTCTAATTCCTCGAGGTATTTGTTGACTGCACGCCTGACGTCTGAAAATTCACCAACGGGCAAATCATCGAGAAGACCATCCAGCGAACGAGATATTGCAGCGTAAGAAGAACGCAATCCCGATGATTGAACAATCTGTGCTAGGCGGGGCTTCTTGGGAGGAGGTTCCATGCACTTGCAAGCTCGCTGAGCGAAAAAGGCTGCGGATGAAGGCCACGGAGTGGGGCGGGAACCCTGCAAATCGAAATGCAACGATACGTGCAGGCAAGGACCCATGAGTGCAAGCACTGATTGAGGAAAACGCAATGCAATATTAAATAACATAGGAGCCACCCAAACCTGATGAAAACAACGCACTACCCCAAGCCACCCATCGCAAAGTTATGGGCAAACTGTGACACTTCAGAACCCCTCAGGGGTGAATCGGTCAAACAACGTATGAAAAAGATATGGAAAGTTGTGAAAAGTTATGCAAGAGTTATGAAGAGTTATGGAAAAAGGTATGGAACGTTATAAAACAGTTATTCCTGTTACACACTCTTATACATAAAAATATCGTGCAGATATAACAGGCGCAATGCACATGCAAGACAATGCTCTTATAACTCAACCATAACTCACTTACAACCAGCGCAACTCCACCGCGAGCAAAGCTGGGTCATCGATCCTCCTCCCCGACCCACCCCGACCCCGGCCCCCGAGCCCTCTGCGCCAGGACGCCTGCCCTGCCGGCGCTGGCGGCCTCTGCACCGTCTTCGGCCTCCCCACGGCGCTGGAGCCCAACGTCACGTGGCGGGCGATCGGCGGGCCCTTGGGAGGCCCGCGGGCCGTCGTCGTCGTCGTCGGCGTTGTCGTCGTCGTCGGCGGCGGCGTCGGCGTCGGTGTCGACGTCGGCGTCGGAGTCGTCGTCGTCGTCGGCGGTGGCATCGTCGTCGTCGTCGTGCGTCGTTCGCTGTTCTCGTTCGGTGTTCGGTGTCGTCGTTTTTGTCGTCGTCGCAATCGTATAGTGGGAGGAGGGCTCTCGGGACCCGCTTGGGAAGGCTCTTGGGGCTCCTTTGGGGCGCTTCGAAGGTTTTTTGAGTCGTCTTGGGGTCCTCTTGGGCGTCTTGGACCGATCGTGCTGCGATCTGGAGCCCTCTTGGACCGTTTTGGCTGGCCTTTGGGGGCCCTCGTGGTCCGTCTTAGGGCCCACGCCCTGGGCCCCAGGGGCCATGCCGGGAGCCCCCATAGATTTGGCAATTCGGGGTCTGGGCCTTCGAAAGAATCCTCAGGATTGAGGAGCTCGAGGGCTTAGGCCGAGGAGCTGAGGACACTCCAACTCTTGCCTCAAGGGCACGGTGGCGGATATGTATGTGGACTGCGCAGCGTCGAGTCTCTGGAGGTCGGGGTTTCCTCCCCTCCACCCTCCCACACCGAAGTCGCCTCGGCCTTCGCCGAGATCTTCCAGATGCAGCTGTGCGAGGGGCTCGAGGCTGCGTGGGGAACAGCGGAGGAGCGCTCGCGTCTATGCGCCTCTGAGGGGGCGGCGGCGGGCGACGGCGGCGGCTGGGACGGCGACGGCGGCTCGGACGGCGGCGCCGAGGGTCGATGGTGCTGGCATCGGGGGGCAGGAGCAGGAGCAGGAGGTGGCGGAGGCGGAGGAGGAGACGGAGTTGGAGGATGAGGGGGAGGAGGTGGAGGAGGAGGAGGGGGAGGAGGAGGAGAAGAGAGGAGGACCAGTGAAAACCCACGAGTCATCAACGATGTTGGAATCAATCCTCCCTCCAAGCTCCCTCCTCATAGGTTCCTGCAACGGTTCATTTCCATTGAGGGAACTGCCTCGTTGCAAGACAACTGTTTGAAAAACCTGACGCATGCCAAAACATTGTTCCCGGGATTCAAACCCCACGGATCAACCTGATTGTTGCGCCTTGACGATCATGAGTCGTGCCAGAACGCCATTTCTGGTACTTGAACACCGCGAATCAACGTAACTGTTGTGCCCGCATAATCTTGAATCCGTCCCAAACACCACTTCTGGCACGTTCATCATGGGAACCAGTGAAACTCTTGCAACTGTTATAAGCGAATGTGCACGGCGCTACGGCGAGAGTCACAGTTTGAAAGGAACCTCCTTCAAACCGTGAAACTCTTGCAACGTTTTAAGACACATGTGCGCGGCGCGAAGGCGAGAACTGCATTTTGAACATGACTCGCTCTAAATCCGTGAAACTCCTGCAGATGTTTAGAACGAATGTGCGCGGCGCTCAAGCGAGAGCCACATGTTGAAAACGAATCGCCCTCAACATGTGAAGTTGTTCCCAATGCTTAAGTTTCAGAGTCATACATGGTGGTGAAGTCTCAGGCGAACCACCCAGACCGCCCTAACAACTTGCCTCGGGGTACGACAGGGAGAAGTTTTGTAGAAGGAGAAGGAGATTGAGCAGGAGGATGCGGAGGAGGAGGAGGAGGAGGAGGAGGAGGAGGAGGAGGAGGAGGAGGAGGAGGAGGAGGAGGAGGAGGAGTGGAGGAGGAGGAGGAGGAGGAGGAGGAGTGGAGGAGGAGGAGGAGGAGGAGGAGGAGGAGGGAGGAGGAGGAGGAGGGCGGAGGAGAGGAGGAGGAGGAGGAGGAGGAGGAGGAGGAGGAGGAGGAGGGGGAATTGGAGAAGGAGGGGGGATGTCCTACTCAGTCCTGGTCGGGACGCTCTCTTGGAGAGGTCTTGGGGACAGCTTCGAGCAAGCATGGAGGTTGGATGAGGCGGAGGCGGAGGAGGCGGGCATCAGGCCGTGCAGGGCTTCGGGCCATCTTGTGACACAGGCTCTGGCCTCCCTCGTAGTTGTCCGCGGCGTGGGTGCAGAAGTTGCACGCGTAAGGGCTATTCGAATGGTCAGAGCAGCGCTGTTGCTCATCACACGAGCGGCGCAGCAGATGCGTTCGAGCGGCGTGAACTCCGTGGTGGACGGATCACGCGCGCCAATCGTTCGAAGAACGCAGCGTTGAGCAGGGAGGGCGGATACGTAATATCCAGGAAGAGAAGAGGAGGAGCTTCGGCAGGTGGAGGATTGGAGAAGCGCATCGTGTGGCCATCGAAGGAGAAGACGACGCAAGGTCAGACACTTTCGGAGTTCCGTGCGCATTTCCGGGGCCGACTGTGGGCCAGCCTGGCGGCGCCTCGGGCACCGTCCCTGGCGCGGCCCGCGCTCCAGCGGAGGAGGGGTAGGGATCCAGCGCCGATCACAGAAATTCGCGCGGGCTTCAGAAACCTTACGAGTATGTGTTCTGTGTTCCTTTAGACATGCAGGCCCATCGTGGCTGTCTTCGGCACGGCCCGCTTCGGTCCGATCGATCCGATTCGATATCGGGTTCGGCCGGTTCGACCCGATCCGCGTTCTATTGGGTGGCCATCCGATTTGGCCCGATGCCTGCATGGCGTTGTTGTGCACCTGATCGCAGCCGAGATTCGATGTCGACTCCGTGCCGACGCGGCCGAGTCCGATGCACAGTCCGATGCGGTCCGACTTCCCGGTGCGGTGCTGGCCGATGCTGCCTCGGGGGGCGGAGGGGCGGAGGCCCGGGGGCGTCCAAGAGGGGAGCGATGACCTGGGCAGGGCTATGGCATCTTCCAGATAGCATGACCACCTCTTCTTCTTCTTCTTCTTCTTCTTCTTCCTCTTCTTTCAATCACGTTCCCTGGCCCCCTCTAGGCCGCGCACATGCCTCGGGCCATGGTCTGGGGTCCCCCCTCCTGGACGCCCCCCCTTTTCGACGCCCTCCGGAGGCTCTGGCCTCGGGGGATGGGCAGACCCCCCCGTATCCAGAGAGCTCTCTCGGGGGCCGACAGAACCCCCAACAGTGACACGTCGATTAGTGAATTGTCCGTTCTCGGTTCTCGAGAGGGCGCCGTGGCCGTCGTTTTCCAGGCTTGCGCCCGCCAGGTTGGGGCCTCTGGTCGTTTTCTCTAAGCCACATTTTACTAAAGGGGGGTCTGTCCAACCCCGACTCTCCGCAAGGAGGAGGTCGTCGACCTGCTGTCGCTGCTGGACGTCCCCTTCAACGAGGCCCTCCCGCTGGCGGGGCGCCGCCGCTCGGGGTCGCAGGTCGCTGCTGCGCCTCGTCGCCCCGGCGGTGCAGCCCGTGCCGACAGTGAGGGAGTACCGTCGCAGCTTGTGCTCCGACCCCCCTTCTGCATCTCGTCACAATGTGTGGATCTCCGCTTCGACGATACTGCGGAAATGGTCGTTTGGGCCTCCGACCGCGGGGACCCAAAAGGGGTGGTGGTGGTTTCTCGAGGTTCTCTCCAGCCGAGTCGATCCGAGCCTCCCCCAGACAAGCCTCCCTCGCTTCGTCCATCCCTCTTCTCCCCCTCCTCTACAGCATGGTTTAACCTACCCCCATTCCCACCGTGCCATTGCATGTCGGCCCTACCATCCCACCACCCCGTCTGGGGATGGGCCCCTCCGGACACGACGGGAGCAGCCTATCTCTCGATCTAGGGGATGATCGGCCAGTGCGGCCAAGGCCACGCCAGCGTGGATACGGCGGGGGCTTTCGTTAAGGAATGTGCCCGGAAGTCTTCAGACCCTGGGGGATTCCTTATCTGAAGAGGGCGGCGGCAATTGCCTTTCCACGATTGATGTTCCGCTGGCTTGCAGGCCCTGGCGTCCTTATCCAGCGTTTTCTTATTCCACGCCCTCGCCGCAGGGGTCCGCAACACTGTGCCTACGCACCTGCTCCTGGCAGTCCGGCTCTCCCCGAGCGCGGGCGCTTGCTCTCGCCGCCATCCCCCCCGCTTCGCCACTCGTCGCCGCCGCCGTCGCGCCGCCGCCCTCCGTCGCTGCTCTTCATCGCCGTCGCCGACCTCAGGACTTTCTTGGCATCGCTCGGACGTGTGCATCTTTCCGTCGGCGAGGACCATCGAGGAGCATCCTTGATCATTTGGCGAAAAAGCCACGCGCGAGACCGAACAAAAAGCACAGGAAATGGACGTCCGAGCGATGGCCAGCTTCTGTCCCTGCGGCGCGGTCGGGAACTTTGGTTTGGCGCGTCGCGCCGCCGGTTCTGTCCAGCCATGCTTCGGCGCGGTACGCCATGCCCTTCCCAGCCCCCGAGCAGCAGCGTCCCGAGCCTTTCGCAGCATCCCGCCCCGCGGAGCGGAGCGAATCGCTGTCCGCTCGCAGAGCATAGCGTGTAGCTGGGGCCGCCGCCGCCGTGACACGCCAAACAAAAGTTCCTGACCGTATGTAGGTGTTCCGTATAAGAATTTCGCCAAGAGGATTTGCAAAACACAGGGGGGGTCCCACAGGGGGACAGGGAGCCCGAGCACGCCTGTGCTGGCAGCCGTCTCACCTCAGAATTCCTCGTCATTTATGTTGTAAGTTGTAATTGGGCTCTTGCCTCAATCCTGGCTACATGTTTGGTCCAGATTACCACAACTTACGGTGCACGTGGCCGTGCTCTCTCCCTTGTCACACGTCCACGAGTTTGTTTAAGAATCAAACTACGGTGCACGTGGCCGTGATCTTACCCCTATCACGCCTAGGAATCCATAAGAATACATAGGAGCGCACGTTTTCACTAGCCGACCTTCTACTCCTCGACCCGTCTCTTCACCTCTGGCTGTTCTACGGATGTTCTGCTGGAGTAAGTCCTAGACTCAGTGCTGGTGTACAGTTCGCAGTTTGTTGCGAGCGCGCCCGTCTGTGGGGCCTCTGTGGGACAGATGGCTGCGGAGGCAAGGGGGGCGCTGCTGCAATCCCGCCCGCCCCGCCCGCGCTGAGCTGTGTACGCAGCTACCTTGCCGAATCTTGGCATCGCTCGGACGTGTGCATTTCGCCTTCGGCGCGGACCATCGAGGAGCATCCTTCATCTTTTGGCGGAAAAACACGCACGATAACCGAACAAAAAGCACCGGGAATGGACGTCCGAGCGATGGCGAGGAATGCTATCCCCGCCCGTCGCCCTCCTCCGCCCGCCGTCGCCGCCGCGCCCGCGCGAACCCCACGCAAATTGTCTCCTGAGAGGCGGGCGCCAACGAGGTCACCTCCCGGAACCTCGGGCGCGGGCCTCGGGCGGCCCAATGGGAGGCGGCGGAGAGGCGGGGAGGGGCGGGCAGGGAGGGGGAGTGTGGGGCCAATGGGGGGGGGCCAGCTGCAGGAGCAGGAGGAGGAGGAGGAGGAGGAGGAGGAGGAGGAGGAGGAGGACGAGGAGAAGGAGGAGGAGGAAGAGGGAAGGAGCAGGAGCAGGAGGAGGAGGAGGAGGAGGAGGAGGAGGAGGTGGAGGACCAGTGCAAACGCAAGGCTCATCAGTGATGTTGGAATGCACCCTCCCTCCAAGCTCCTCTTTCACATACCCCTACAAGTGCTCATGTAGACTGAGTGCATTGCCCCGTTGGGGGACAGACGTGTGAACGTTTTGAAGCGCACAAATTCATCATTTTCATGACCTCGACGCTACGAGCCAACCTGGCTGTTGCGTCTTGACGATCTTGAATCGTGCCACAACGCCATCCCTGGGACTCCACCACCGCGAATCAACGTAACTGGTGCCCCTGAAAATTCAGAGCCGTTCCAGAACACCATTTCTGGTACGCCAACCGTGAGACGCAGTGAAGCTTTTGTGGATGTTTGAAACGAGTGCGCGCGGCGCTGCAGCGAGAATCGTATTTTCAAAAGGAACCGCCCTCACTTCGTGAAGCCCTGCACGTGCTAAAACGAACGCGCGCGGCGTCAAGGCGAGAGCCACTTTTTGAAAAGCATACGCCCTCAACCAGTGAAGCTCTTGTATGTTTTAAGATGAATGTGTGCGCGGCGCCAAGGCGAGAGCCACACTCTGGACGCGACCCGCCCGCCTTCCGTGAAACTGTAAGCGTCTGGGCTCGAACAACTCGGCGCCCAATGCACAGCCAAGCCGACACCCGCTCGCAGGCGCGCGCGCCAGACAGCCAGTCACGCCGGGGCGGACCAGGTCCCGTTCGCCCGCGTAGTACCGCAGGCGGAGGAGACAGAGATCCGACGCCAGGATTCTGCTGTCCATCGAGAAGGCCAGAGAGGCATCGCACACCATCGCGAAGCAGCTCGCCACGCTGCACATCGAGGACGGGTGCCGGCTCGGCGTGCAGATCCAAGGCATTGCGAGGAAGCTGGCGGCCAAGACCGCGAGCAGAGCGGCTGGCAGAGGCGGCGGAGAAGCGAAAGGTGTCAAGCAAGCAGTTCTCGGCCATAGCGGGCGAGGCCGAGAAGGCGAGAAGGAAACTGAAGGAACTGGAGGAGCGCATGGAGGTCAAGGCGGGCGCAGTCACGGACGCGGAGGCTCTGCTGGAGGAGATCCACAGCGAGGGCAAGAAGCAGCCGCCAGGGAGCTTCATGCAGCAACTCCTCGAGAAGTCGGCCGACGAAATCGCGCTCGCAGCGGCGATCGACCTGGGGGCCGAGATCGTTGGAAGACGACATCGACGAGACAGCCAAGCTCGCCGTGGCGGAGGCGAAGAAGGCGGTGCTGAGGGATCGCAGGGCGGGCGCGGCAAAGCAAGCGGAGCAGATGCAGCTACCCATCATGGCGGTGAATGAGTCGGCAGCGAAGCACAAGGCGACGATTCGCCCTGAGACAAAGAAGGGGCAATTGGACGTTGGCCGAGGTGCTGGAGCTGATGTACATGCGGAGGTGCCCCAGGATGCGCGCGGCGATGCCCCCCCGCCCACTCCCGCGGCTGCCCGGGAGGCAGCGGCAGGGGGCCAGGCGGCGCTCGAGGAAGAGGCGCTGAGGAAGTCCAGGGAAAAGGGGGCGGCGGCGGCGGTGAGCAGCAGCGCAGCGGCAGCCAGCAGTTGAAGGTCGAGCCTTGGCGGCCCAGCTGACGGCAACATGGGGCCCCGCTGCAGAGTCGTGGCTTACGGGTTAGCGCGTGCGACTCAACAGGTTGAAAAGCAATGGGGGGGGTTGGACTCATGCCTGTTCCAGGAGACCAACCTTCGCCACCGCCCGTTGGAGGAGAAGGAGGCGCTGCTGCACAGGGGGGGGGTTAAAAGCATGCTTCGCTTCAGCGCGGCAATCGAGCAGGTCGGAGGGCGGCTCGCTGGGTGGCGTGATGGTTGGTGCCAGGTCACATTATAAGACCTCTTTCTTCTGCGAGTTGGCCGCCTGCGAAAGCGTTTCGGGGGCGACGGCGGGCGGCAGAACGGGCCCTCCTGACTGCGCGGGCGCTCCCGGATTGCTTCAGATGGAGGATTGGGCGGCCATGGCCTGGCACCTGAAGGGGCCCACCCTAGTTCTCATCTCACTCGTACCTGCGAGGCGGGCAACCCCTGCGCGAAGGGGCCAACGCCGGGCGACTCGCGTGGGCGGCGAGGTTCAATGCCACGCTTCGCGCGCCACGGATCATCGCAGGCGACTCCAATGTGAGCCCGTTCAACTTCGCAAGGGCGGGTTGGTGCGATGCCTTGGGGTCGGGCGCGTCGTCGCCGTGCCGGACGACGCCCCGACCTGCGTCGAGGCATGTGTGGAGCCGCCCCTGATCGACTACGTGGCGGCGAGCCCAGCGGCGTGTTGGCGCCTGGTCGGACCGCTGCTGCATGTGGCGGGCGTCAGCTGGAGGCCGTGCGTCGGCCTGGCGCTGGAGGTGCACGCGGGGCCGCAGCGCAACCTCGCGCGGAGACTAGCCTTGCCGCCGCCGTTCTGCCGCCCGAAGCTTGACGAGCGGAGGTAGGCGAACTGCGACAGCAAGACGCAGAGAGGAAGAGGCATCGGAAGGAGGGAAGAGCAGCACGCGAGGCTGAACACCATGTAAATGAAGTGGGCACTGACTGTTCGGCATGGGATGCGGCGATCAACTCCAGATTGGAGGCCGTCGCGCCTCCTGGATGGACTTGCTGCCCGATGCTGCCCAGCGGAGACCTGAGCGAGGAAATCATAGTGTCATGGCTTGGTCGCGCCGGGGGGGCGCAGTGTCATGGCCGCCCCAACCCGGAGGCGCAGCAGCAGGTGGCGACGGTTGAGCAGGCAGGCCCCCTCGGCGGACCTCAACGCTGAGCTGCTGCGCGTGACGTGGACAACCCAGAAGGCGACCTGATTTCCGAAGACGGCGACGCCTGGGGCCAGGTGCTGGAAGGCCCACCTGAGCAGCATGACGAGCGACGACCAATGGAATTTCGTGAGAAAGTATCAGGAGGAGATGCGAGTGAAGCGTTTGCTAAACTTGCAGCTCCTTCTCCAGTAGCCTCGAGAACAGGATGGAGCCAACCTCCAGGGACTGCTGGTCGTCAGGTCGGGGCTGGCGCGGAGTTCTCAGGCTGGGCGTCGGGGGCGGCGAGCGCGAGTCTGAGCCAGGGGAAGGCAACCTGCGCCAGGCGAGCGAGGAGGTGATCACCGTCGACATGGAGGACCTCTGGCGCTCGCTGGCCAGCTCCCAGGCAGGCCAAAGTACTCCGCAGGTGCAAGAGTACATCGAGGGCAGCGCAGCGTTCCAGGCGACCGAGAGGGAGGCTACAGGGCTGGCGGAGGGGTGCGGCCACCTGCTCAACTCCATGGGGCCCTTTCCTGCGGGGCCTGCGCGGCGGTGCAGGGAGCGCCCCACAAGTGCAAGGGCACGGGCCAGACGAACATGGACGACGTCAGAAGTCCACCGCCTGCTGGCAGAGAGGCATTCGCGAGGATGCGCAACAGCTGCGAGGACAGGATTGCGCGGCCACGGCAGGGGCTGCAGGCCCTTGTCACGCTACAACCGTAGGACGGCGAGACACAGGACAGCACCGCCCTGACGGGCGGATGAGACAGCGCGCTGGTACTGATGACCTGGTTCGCAAGGACCTGGGGGCTGCTCGACCGCGCGCAGGCCGGGCACTGGGCGAGAGACGTGGAGGAGGGCTTCGACGCGGCGGTGGCAGGCAACCCCTGCTTACGCGAGGCCATGGCGAGGGCGCTGGTCGGCGAGCGCGCCGGTGGATGTCGAGAGGTTCTACGTCTCGCTGGCGTTCGCCAAGGTGGCCAGGCGATTGGTGGAGCACGGCTTCACTCCGAGGGTCTTGGCAATGGCGATGGTTCTGCACCTCGCCCCGATGATGCTGGAGGAGGTGGGCGCGTGCAGCTTGCCGCTGTGCGCTCGGAGGAGCCTGCTCGCAGGTTCCAGGCGCAGCAACAACCTGGCCAGGACGCTGGTGCACCGCGCGGTCAGGCAGCTGCGCAGCAAGGTGCAGAAGGTGCAGCCTAGGACGTGGTTCGACGACATCGGGCGGCGGGCAGTGGGTAGCCTCGCGGTGGTGAAAGCGGTCATCGTGCAGGCGACCTGAAGCAGGAGCTGGAGGTGGAAGGACTCGCTGTGGCAAGCAAGCCAGTCATCTTCCCGACGGGCGTCTGCATGGCGAAGCACGGCAAAGGAAAACCTGAGTCGGTAGATGACCGAGAGACGTGGCAGCTGGCCAAGCGGAACGGCCAGCAGGTATGCGCTAAACGCGCTGAGGAAGAAGTTCGACTTAGTCCCTCGGGAAAGTGGGTGCAGAGTTCAACAACGTCGCCCACGAGGAACCGCTGCAGCCCGCTTTCCCCAGGCTGGTTCGAGCAAGCCCGCTCGCTAGCCGCGCCCCCGCCACCCCAGCAAGCATATTTACCAGGTCGACTGACCTGCAACACTCAGGACAAACGCACGTGTGAAACTGTTGCCAGTTTTTGAGCTTCAGGCTCATAGCGTGTAGAGAAATCTCAGGCGACGCGCCTGGTCCGTCCTTCCGACTGGCCTCAGGCCCGCCCGGGCGATCTGCGCCCCCAGCGGGCCTGCCATGTAGCTCGGCGATGCAGCTGGGCGGCGGGCCTGACGACACTTCACGCACTGCTTCGCAGCACAGTGGCAGGTATCCTCGGGCTGGGCTCGGGGGGGCGGGCGGCCAACAGAGATGGCGGTGGAGGAGGAGGAGGAACAAGGGGAAAACCTAGAGAAGAAGGGTGATGAGGCTCGGCGTAGCTGGGACGTGTGTATTTTCTCGGCGGGAACCATCGAAGAGCATCTTGGACCATCTTGCGAAGCATAGGCAGGCTTGGGGGCCTCTTGAGCATCTTGGGCCGTTCAGCTTGGCGGCCTCTTGGGCAATCATTGGGCGATCTTTGGGGGCTCTTGTGCCGTCTCGGGCCGTCGGAAGGCTGAAAAGAAGCAAGTGTCAACATCCTTCAGCAATCTATGGGACAACAATGTATTGTTGCATTTGTTGGCCTTCCTGGAGGCCCTCTTCGAGGCCTCCTGGGCCGTCTTGGGCCAGCTTCGAGCCAACTTCGGCCAGCTTGGTGGGCTCCTGGCCCGTCTGACGCCGTCGGAATCCGTTTGGGGGGCCTGTCTGGGACGTCTTGGGGCCCTCTTGGGGTGCTCCAGGGCGGTCTTAAAGGCGATCTTGGGCGTCTTGGAGGCCTCTTGGGTCGTCTTTGTGCCCTCTTGGGGCCGTTTTGGGGGCCTCTTGGGCAGTCCTGAGGCCATCTTGGAGGCCTCTTGGGCGCTGTGGGGGCGATCTTGGGGGCCTCTTGAGCCGTCTTGGGTCGTCGGAAAACCGACAAGGAGCAGATACGAACAACCTTTAACAACCTAAGGAAAAGTAATGATTTTGGCCTGTTCGGGCCCTTCTGGAGGACCTCTTGGAGGCCTTTTGGGCCGTCTTGGAGGCCTCTTGGGCACCTTGGGCCGTCTTGGGCCGTCTTGGAGGTTTCTTGGGCGGACTTGGAGGCATCTCCTCCTTCCTCTCTTGGGCGGACTTGGAGGCCATCGGAGGCCATCTTGGAGGCCATCTTGGGCCAACGTTGCCATCATGGAGGCCGCCTTGAGCCGTCTTGGAGGACAAATTGTGCAATTCAGCTCCTCTCCGGGTGGCCGGCGGGATGGGCCGCAGCCTCAGGCTGTCAGGGGGAGTTCTTTTGGAAAAGGATCCGCCGCCCCCTGTTGATTTATCACAGGGGTGCCTGGCGTGCTCAACCCTCCTAACCCCGTCGACGCGCCGTCAAAATATCACAAGGGTGGGCAGAGGGGAGAGTGGGCTGCTGGAGAAGAACCCCACTGTCTTCCTTATTCCTCGGTGGCCATACCCGAACCCGACCCTCGCAATATGAGGCAACTCGAGGGGCGGCGGGAGCGGGGATTTGGAATTCGTCGAGCACCTGGCGACATCCGAACCCTACCCCCGCCTCTGATCGCTTCAGGGGAATCGAGGGTTGTTCGGAGCAGGTTTCGGATGTAGCCACCTGTGTGTGTTGTTTGCTGATCACCTTCTGCGCGCCGCTGAACAATCTCGAAGGGTTCAGTCGGGCCTGGACCTCTACAGGAGGAATATTCGAAAATAGTAAAAATATAGTCTGGGGACTATTTCTGGAGTATTTTTGGGTATCTCTTGAGTATTTTCTGAGTATTTTTCATTTTTCGTCCACAATCCCCCTGTAGGGGGACAGGCCCGACCTAATCGAAGGGGCAAAACACATCTCGAAGGGGGGGCGGGCCCTCCGCGCAGAGCGCCGGCGAAGGTCGGAGCTGCTGCACGAGCTGCTGCGGGCCCTGTCCCCCGCGCCGGGCGCCGCCGCTCCCGCGCTCGCCGCCTACTTCGGCCGCGGCCTCGGCGGCGGCCGGGGTGTCGATCGAGCGGGGTGCCACACCAACGGCGAACGCATCCATACAGCCAGGACGCTGAAATGAGGAGCAGTTTGGATTCGGAGGAGGCTCGATGTTCCTCGCGTCCTTCCGTGGTTGTTCCTCTAGCCCTTCTCGTGCACCCAGGCTTTTTTGAAGCCGCAGAGGGGCTCCGTTCCTTCATGGCGTTCCTTGTTTCAGCAGCCCGACTGTATCCACACCCTCGCGGTATGGGCTCCGGTGCGCGGTCTCGCGGATGTGCGGTCGCCCGGCAACGTTGTGTGCGGATCTTCCGCGAGCAAAAGCGCCCCGTCTCCGCGGGGTCGCGGCCCAGGGGCCCAGCTCGCGAGGCCGCGGGTACGGATACAGGGATGGATGTTCGGAGGCCCGCGCGGGTTTCTTTCAGAGCAGGGCGCGCTGAGACAACGGTAGCCGGCCTTCGGTGGAGCGCGTTCGGATCCTGGGAAGCGTTTGGGACCGATTTGAGCGGAGGGCACTGCGTCTCGAGGAATCTTGGCCCAGAGCTTCTTCACAGTTTCCGGGCGTTGGCGGCTCTCCAGGGGCCCCGGGAGCTGGTCTTGCGGGGAGGCCCCCATGTTCCGGGTTGGGAGTCACGACTTCGAGGTTCGAGGATTTTCGGGGGCGGCAGAGAGGGGGGTGATGACTAGGGGGGGGGGGGGATATCATGGCGGGGGCCATGATATTTCCACAGATTTTATGGCGCCTCTTCTTCTTTCCTTGCGTCCCTGCCCCCCCCCCTTCGGCCGCGCACATGCCGCCTGCCATGATTTGCCCCCCCCCCCCCCCCCCCCTCTTGGACGCCCCCCTCTTGGACGCCCCCCTCTTGGCCGCCCCTGAGATTTCGGGCGTGTTCGGCGGCTTCGGCGGCTTCCCAGCCTCGGGGGGCGTTCCAGCGGCGGCGCTTTCGCTCGCGCACGACGGGGTCTTGCGCCGCGGGCACGGGGGCCAGCTCGGGCGGCGCGGGTCGGCCGCGAGCGCTGTCCAGCTGCTCGCCCGGCACCTGCGCGCCCTGGCCTGCGGCGCAGCGCCTTTCTTGCAGCCGCCGCGCCCCCCATGCAACCACTCATGGAGGGGGCCCTCGTTCAGCTTCGGCTCCGCCTCAGTCTCGGCCAGCAGCGCAGGGCAACCTTCTCGGCGGCGAGGGCGGGCGTCCTCTGTCGCGCCGCGAGCGAGACAGTCCGCCGCCGCTGGAGTCTGTGTTGCCTGGAGCAGCGGCTGTCGCCCCAGAGCCCCTGCAGAGCCCCTTGCTCTCGTTCGCTGCGCAGCGTGTGTTTGCCGACCACCGTGTCCCTCAAGGGTCTGGGCCAGGGCACCTCGCCCCAGTGCTCTGGCAGGTGCGCGGCCGCTCGGCTTCGCTGCCGCCCCCTCGATCCTGGCGCCAGCAGGTCGAACGCGTCCGCCGGGCTGGCGACTGGGAGGTTGATCAACCTCTTCTGGTCGTCCACGATCGCCATCGCCGACGCCGTGCCCCAGCCGGCGTCCCGTGGCGTGAGCCACGTGGTTGCGAGCGGCCCACGTGCCAGCGTCTGCGACGTGCGCTCCTCCATCTGGACCTGGAGGGCAAGCCGGCCCCTTTTCCGGAGCTGAGGGTTGCGCCCTCCCTTCCAGATCCACCCAGCACATCACCGCACCGAGGGAGTGGTCGTCTGGTAGATCCCGTCGTAGTTGGCCGGGGCCAGCACAGTGCACTGGGGCCTGGTGACCCCCCTTCTCTTCCAGGCCCATTTGAGGATCAGCAACCTGCTGCCCCTCGCCGCGAGCTGCTTCAACCGCTGTTTCTCTCGGTTCCGCATCACCTCGGAACCAGTGAGCTCGTGGCCCAAGATTCGGGCCCGGCGCTTCTCTTCAGCAGTTCGAGCCGCTGTCGAAGTGGACGCCGTACCTTGCGGAGGTCGCCAGACGCCCTGACTTGCCCGCATGCGCCACCTGCCGCAGGCGCCGCGGCCTCGCGAAGAATGCCTCGGTCGCCCGCCAGAGCTGCTTGCAGTGTTGCTGACCCGCTGCAGGGTCGAGTCGCCCACGGGCCCACGTGGCTCCAAGGACGGGCAGTGCTCTGGCGCGCGCCGTAGGGTGAGAAGAGTCATCGCGGTCGGCAGCGTCGTGGCGTGGCTGCACCCCGCGGTGTTCCTGCTGGGTCGCGCGGCGCACCACCGACAAGCTGCCGCGCGCCTCCAGCGTGCGCCCTGCCCCGTAGGAGCGGGGCTTCGTGCAGTCAATCTGGGACCCTTGCGTGTTTCTCCGGTTCGAGAATGGTCACCTCCAGGGCTTCGTCGGCCTTCACGTGGATGACGCTCTTATGGCCGGCACAGATGGTTTTTGGAACGTAGTGGATTCTCTTCCTCTTCAATGGGGCAGCAGGTCGTCTGGTGATTTTGTTTTCTGTGGATTGCAGATCACGGTTCGTATGCCGTACATCACCTTAGACCAGAAAGCGTACTGCACGAATCTATCCACGATCTCTGTTCCACCCCATCGTGCACGTTTTCCCAATTCTCCAGTGACCGAGCTTGAACGGAATTCTCTTCGCAAATGCCTCGGCGAGCAGATCTGGGCAGTCGACCAGACAGTGCCGACAGGGTCGTTTCATGTGAGCGCTATAGCATCCAAAGTTCAGACGGCGACGGTTGCCACACTGCTGGAATGCAACAAAAACGCACGACGCATCAGAAACGAACCAATGGTGCTCAATTTGGACCTATGTCGAAACAGATTTGTGTGTATTCTTTCGGAGACTCGTCCAAAAACAGGCCACCGCAGCGGGGCATGGCCACTTTCATAGGAGAAATGGTATGGGGAAACAAGTTAGTCTTCCGAGCATGCTTGTACCGGTGGGCCTCCAAGAAGCAAGAACGTACCTGCACAAGCACCTTAGCTACAGAAGCACTGGCTGGGGAGAAAGCTCTGGATGTGAACTTCGCGACGCGAAGGCGCATTCAAGAAGCACTGAACCTTCCGGAGGCACCTCCCGGCGTGCTGATTTCTGACAGTTGGTCTTTGGTTACGAACATATACTCGACTACACCACATGTGTCTGAGGAGGATTTAATCCCCTCCCTGCAGCGTATCCGTGAAGCTACAGTATCGTGGGTACGTTTCCATAGCAGCAAGGTGCTGCCCACGGACCTGTGGTGGCAGCTGGATTCCGACATGGTAGCAGACCCGCTTACGAAGCCAAGCTCGAACCCTCACAAACTGCTCTCGCCGATTCGTTCGGGTACCTTGTCGTTCACGTCCGCCTGCAAGCCTGCCTCTGCTCCTCCGGACGCAGCAGTTCTAGCTCGACCTTTGCGCTTGGGTTTCCCGGCCGAGGGAACAGCGGATCTGGCTGTAGCGATGGTTGCCGCAGCCATTGGCGCTCGTGTGCCTCTAGCGCCAGCAGCGACGGGCAAGGCGCCCCCGCCTTCGCCCGGCACCACCAGCAAAGCACCGCCTCCGGGAAGGCCGCCGCCTCCAGGAAGGCCGCCGCCTTTCGTGGCAACACCGACGGCAGCAGAGCAGCTAGCAGCAGCTCTGCCGCCCCGGGGCCGCCTGAGCGCGGTCGAACGCCATTTGTTGACAGACTCTCAGAGGAGTTTCCGCGCAGAGGTGCCGGCCTTGGCGCGGATGCAAGGCCGCCAGGATCTGAGCAGACCGGAACAGGCAGAACGTGCGCTGAGCCTGGTCCGGCAGCAGCTGCACGCGCAGACCAAGTTCGACATCCTCACGGACCGTGTGGAGGTCGACAAGCAGCTACGAACGGCGTGTAGCAAAGCGCCAGGCGCGCCGAAAGCTCCAGACAAATCCCGCGACCACCGGTACCGCAGGGATGTGGATCTTGCCGGTCCTTGGATGGCCGCCCGGCTGCACAGGAGACCGACAGAAAGCTAAAAGGCACAGGGCAAAGTTGGAAGTGCAAGAAGCAGAAAGAACGCTGCCGCCTCCACTGCCGGAGGGCGTCTCTGTCGCAACGGTAGTTGAGCAGCTCGCGGCCTCTTCGGTTGAAACACCGGCCCCTCCCTCCGAGCCGCCGAAGACGCGACCCAGGTCGTCTGCCGCAGTCAGCCTGACCGACAGCTCAGAGGCAGAGACGCTGAGTTGCGACGGCAACGACAGGGGAGACGCCACGGTTACCCAGAAAGGCAACGTCAGTGCCGACTGGGAGGACAAGGATTGGGAAGGCCAATTCATGTCATCGAAGGACTGTCCCGCGCTGCGCCCGAGCACTGACAGGCAGCTAAAGCGCAAGCCGCCGACTGCCAAGAGGCGCGCAAAGCGTGCCGAAAAGAAGAAAGCAAAGAAGGCCGCAAAGAAGACTACTGAGACCGCGCCGAGCACTGCCTGAGACTTTTCCTGCCTTCCTTTAAAAAAGAAGGATGAGGTTGACAGCCGTTTCCCATCCATCTTAGTCTGTTGTCTCTTGCTGTCTGTCCTCTCCTCCCTCCTCTGTGCACTGCTTGCCTGCTGCTGCCGCTCTGGCTTACCCAGGGCCCTTGAGCCGCGCCGCCGGAAAAGGGAGCGCGCGGGGTCCGCGCGCACCGGGGCCTTCCGGCCACCTCCGCCGTGCCATGGCGAGAGAGTAAGTACTCCTCACTGCGTCGGTCAGGAGGCGCGCGGGTCAGAGGTCTCGCAGGCCCTCCACGCGTCCGCGATCACCGCCAGCGCCCCTGCGCCCGCGAGCGCCGCCAGCTCGGCGCAGAGACTGCGCGTGCGCCGAGCTCCCCACGGAGCCTCCTGGCCCTGCTGCTCCCGCTGCTGGGGCCGCGGCCGCCAGGCCCTCGCAGGAGTCGGGCAGCCCGGTGGGGCGCCTCGGCCGTCGGGCTGCTTCAGCCCGAGGTGTCCCCCCTCTCGGGTGTCTGCTGCCTCGCGAGTGTCGCGAGGAGCTTCTCCGACGGCGCCGGCGCAGCCGCTCGCGCTGCTCGAGCAGCGTCGCGATCGCTGCCGGCGCCCAGTCTGAGAGGAAGGAGAAGCTGCGGGGCGCGGTTGGAGTCTGCCACACCGCCTTCGCCCAGGGAAACGACCCCGCCGTCTTCCTCAGGCGGTCCCCGGTGAAGGCAGAGAGCGCGTGCCACTCCTGCGCTGCGCCGGGGAGGTCGAGCGTCGGCAATTGCTGGCGGCCCCATCGATGTTGCCATTATTCGAGCCCGCGGTCGGCCAGGCCCGCCGCGTCGCCCCTGCAAGTTGTGCCGGTGGCAGCCAAGCCTTCCTGGTGTCCCTGGACATTGTTCATGGCGCGGGTTCTTCTGGCGCCGTTGCGGAACGCCTCCGTTATCCAGCCGCGCCAGCCCCCGCCGGCTCGCGCCTCAGGACCGCGCGACTGCGGCCTGCCGCCCGCGCCTGGACCCTCGCCGCGCGCCCCTGGCAATCGCCTGGCGCGCAGAGGTCGACCCCGAGCTCGAAGAAGAAGGCCCTCGCCCCCACAGGGCACGCGCTCCAGCGTGCCAGAGCTACCGCCGAGCCGCCCGGCAAGACTTCTGAGCCCGTGCAGCGCCGCTCCTGGCCGCGCGCTGGGCGTCTGCGTCTCTCCCCCGCCAGGCACGCCTCCGACGTGCCCACGGAAGCGCGCCTCGGCATCACATCACCTCCGCGAGGGACGTGAGCTGCACGCGCTCCCAGCGCGCCGCCACCTCCGCCGCTCGGTCATCCCCATCTCGGAGGAGGCGCCGCCGCGGTGGCTTCCACCGCAGCTCAGTCCAGCAGAGCTCTGCCGTGTGGCCCCTCCCGATGCACTTGGCCCTTTCCCTGCCGACGATGTCGTGCCTGTCCAGGATCTCGCTCTCCACCCCTAGGGCGGAGTTCCACCCTGGCTGGAGCTGCTCATCGTCTTGGATAGCGTGCAGCTGTTCCTGCGCCGCCTGCCAATGCCACGGTGGCCGACCGCAACCCTGCTTGACACGGCCAGGGAGCCGCCGCGGCTCCTTCGGCACCCCCGCCCACATCTCGCGCTCCAGCTTCAGCAGCTCCAGGTGCACCGGTAAGTGTAGCCACGTCTCCGCCTCTTCCTGCACCTGGCTGGTGGCCTGCACCATGGTGGCCATGCTCTTGCGGATGATGTGGTAGTCGATGCACGTGCCAGGCAACTCCTTGATGCACGTCGCCGCCGCCGCTACAACCGCGAGCCCCTTGAACTTCGCAACCCACCCGAAGTTGAGACCCACGGTGCTCGCGTTGAAGCCTCGGCAAGCCACGCGCCTCCAGCGGGCCCACAGATTTTAATGATGCCCACGGAATTGCGGTGCTCTCTGGGGACAGCCCCTCCCGGTTGCGGAAGTGCGCGGGCATCGCCACCGGCTCTCCGCGCGGTCCAGCATGGGCGCGGCCGGCGAGGACCCGCCCCGGCCGCGGCTCCCCAGCGGCGTGGCCAGGTGGGACTGTGGCCGCCATGCGGGATGGCACCAGCGCCGCCGCGCCTCCTTGGCAGCGAGCCCCTTCAGCCGAGGTCGCAGCAGCTCGGTTGAAGGCTGGCGAGCCCCTCCTCCTTCTGATCGTGCTCCTGGACGGCCAACGCCAGGCTGTGGCAAGTTTGAGCGTGCTGAAGGACGTCGCGATGAGCGTCGTCAGCCAGCCTTGAACATCCTCTGGCACCTCCGTCATGGCGCTATGCTTGTGCCCCCCTCCCCCCCCGCAGCGGCTCTTTAAGTCAGCACCAGCCAGCGCCTCCGCGAGCCGCTTGCACCCTGCCCGCGACGCCTCGCCAAACAGATTGTCCATCGCCGTGAAGATGACCTTGATGTCGTCGAGGGACGCTTCGGTGCCGCCGGGCTCGTCGGTGTCCCTATCGTCGTCCCTGGGCACTGCCTTCGCTTCTGCTGCCGCTGCGGCGGCCGCCTCCGCCTGCGCCTTGGCGGCTGCGTCCGCGGCGGCGGCTCACGCGCAGGCCGCTCGTCGCCGCTCTCCGCCGGAGGCTGCGGGAGGGCCGCCAGGGGTTCTTTGCGGCTGCGCGTTCTTCTGGAGGATGCCCTTGCGCTGCCCTTTGATCGCCGCGAGCTGCTTGTTGTTGCTAGCCAGTTCCTCGTGTAGTTCTGTTCCGCCTTCCTGATGCGATCGTCTCACGTCCGCAGCTGGTCGTGTGGTTTCTGGGCTACCGGCGCCTGTTGCGTCACTCGCGTCGGCTGCTTCGAAGACCTAGATCCGTTTCTTCAGGATCGCGAGCCCTTGGGCCCGCTGTCGTTCATCCTGGTCTCCAGCGCCCTCTTCAGCTCCTGTTGCCTCGCTCCTTCCTCTCCCGACGTCGGCAGATCCTCTTGCGGCCTGATGAGGTTCGGCGCCCTCGGCCGCGGCGGCCAGCTGGCGCTTGAGTTCCTCGATCTGCTTGTCCTTGTCCAGGAGCAGGAGCTTCTGCTCGCCGTCGGCTGTCGCGTCCGCAGGCCGCCGCACAGGCAGCTTGCCACCACCACTTCCGTTGCCTCTGGCACGGGCGCCGAACGTGGCGGACTTCGAGCAGCGGCACAGCATGCACTGCACCCCCTGCCCGCTATGGGGCCACTGCTGTGCGCCCTGCGTGGGGGGAAGGGCGCAGCGAGGATGGAGGTGGGTGGACGGATGAGGGATGAGTGCGGAGGCGGGGGAGAGCAGTGAATGTGGATAAGGTGAGGGGTAAAGAGAGAGGAGCCATGAGGAGGGAGGGATTGAGGGGAATGAACAGGGGCATGATACGGGAGAGTTTGAGGATGCGGAGAAGGGGGAGGCGGAAATGGAGGAGGAGGGGGGTGAGACGGCCAGCCGTGTGAGGGGCAGTTCGAAATGAGGCAGGCTGGCAGCTGAGGGACTTCGCAGGCTGCGAGTTATCAGTTGGTCCTTTAAACTGGAAGCCGTGCACAGGTACACCTTCGCTGCCAGGTAGCGCAGGGGAGGCGGATGAGGAGGGCTGACTAATGATATAGCGGAGGATTGAAAGGGGGGAGGGGGAGGCGCAGGAGGTGGAAGCGGAGAAGGAGGACGAGGATCGGGGTGAATATTGCACCGAGGCCATGACACGAACTTGCAGTTCTTGAGGCGCATGCTCAAGCTGAACTGGCGCTCAGGGTTTCAAAATCGTGCAGCCCGTCCTTGAATATTTGTCCTCCTTCTGTCTTCCTCTGGCGCTGCAGTGGCCACCGCCCCATCCCGCGCCGGGACGGGCTTTGCCTGCATGTGCGTGTGTATGTACATCTGCCCTCCTGATGGATTGCCATTGTGGCTCGAGAGAAGTTGTGGCCTTTCGACAGAGCGCGCGCCGTCTCTCTGCGAGCCGCAGCTGGTGGAGACCGTGAGCCCCTTTCCCGAGTCTTCGACCCCCTGGCCTGCCGCCGTCGCGTCCTCCTTCTGCTCCTCGTGCCCCTGTTCCTTCCCGAGCCGTCCAGAGCTCAAGTCGTCTTCCCCCCCTCGGGCCGTCCTTGGTCGAAGGCAGTCCGCCCCGAGCAGCTTCCCCGGTCTGGGGCCCTCCCCCTCCCGCTCTCCCCTCCGCGGCCTCGTCGTCTTCGTCCCTTTCTCCTCCCCCTCTCCTCCGACCTTCTTGCGTATCTCACGTTGCGTGTATCCAGACAAGCTAGATTCTCGAGGCCACGGCCTCACCCACCTGGTCTGAGCTATGCCCAGACACTGTCCGCAACCGTGGCTGCCACGGATCGCATCCTCTTGCCGCTGCCGCCCCGCTTTCTCCACCTCTTGCATGTGTGCACGGCCTGGCTGGCTGGCGCTTGTGATGCCTGTGGACACTGGGCTTTGGATGCGATGTGCGTCCGTCGCGGAGGAGCACACGATTCCTCTCTACGCAGTCGTTTCCTCCTGGAGTCATGTGGACGATGAGCTTCTCCTGGTTAACAGCACCCTTTCCGTCGCCCATCTTGCGGTCGACGTTGGCCCCACGCAGACCTTGCCCACCGAGTGGGGTCCACGGCGGAGATTCCAATTGGCGGGAGGGTAGTTTGGAGATGAATGCGCGGGCACGTCGTTAGACTCCAGAGCAGATGTGTATAGGTGCCTCCTCTGACGCGCTCCTGGATCTCTGACGTTTTGGTCCTGGGGAGCCACAACCCGCTGTGTCACGCAGGTCTGGTGAGTCTCTCTGGCATCTATCAGCGCCATGCAGTTGGGACGTGAGGCCTTCTGCACACCACCTCGCTTGCGCGGTGGCTGCAGCACCCTTTGAAGAATTGTGATGGACACCGCCAGGCTTGCACATGCAGGCTTCTGCGGCACCTACCCAGTGTTCTCGTTCCTGCTGCGCATAGCCCCGCAGACAAATGATTGTGGTGTCCACGAATGCATGCCGTTCGCATGTACAAGGAGGACGCGACGAGGTTCGGTGGAGGAGGGGGGCGGAGGCACACCCACCGCCTTTCTCGCGGCTTCGAGGTATGTGGTCCTTGCCTCCCGCCTCCTTCTCCCTCGTTTTCCTTCCTCCCTCATCGTTTGTGGACACGTGCACTGGATATCCCATGGTATTCTTGACGCTCCGCGTCTCCCCCGCCAGCCCATCCAGCCACGATGCCCAGGCGAGTTGCGTTGATCAGGGAAGTGTGGGAGCACGTTCCAGAGCAGCTTTAGCATTCCCAGGAGTCAACCATTGAACGCCGTCGCGGATATTTCGATACGGGAGCTTGTTGGCAGCTTGTCTTGGCCATCCTGGGACCATTTCTGGATGCCTCTTGGGCTCTCTTGGGGCCCTCTTGGGACCCTCTTGGCTTGGGCGCTTTTTTGGCAGTCTTGGGCTCGTCTTAGTCCTCTCGCGGAGCACTCTTGGTCGGGCTGAACAGGACCCCAAGCGAAACGTCTGTGAATTTTGCTATGTTCCGGGTTGCTTATTTGTTTGCTCGATGTCGTTCTTGCGCGCGGTTTCTTTGGCGTTGCTGGACGCTCTTCGCGATGCCGCGGCACATGGTCGGGCCCCGACTCGCCTGGGCCCCGCCGCGGAGTCCGTGGGCCCTGGCCCCAGAATCAAAGGAGATCTGCGCCCTTGAGTCGAGGGCTCTGGACGCGGGGTCCGCGGGGCCCCAAGTACACAGGCCACCCGCGCGCGCTGGGCTTGCCCCCCGAGATGCCACCGGACGAGGCCACCGAAAGCTGCCCCGAAAGGTGGCAGTTTCACATCGGTCGAATCATTAGCGAACAGTGCGGAGCACCATCCGAATTATCTTCGGTCTTGTTTTTAACAGTGCGGAGCACCATCCGAGGCGTCGACGGGCAAGATTCGGAGCCCTTACGCGGCGCGATTCGGAGCCCCATTCGGGACGTCGATGGGCAAGATTCGGAGCAGGAGCGCGGCCGCCGCAGGCAAGATTCGGAGGTGGGATTCGGCTACATGAGGTGCGATCAGCGCCGTCCTCAGCAGCCTCTCAGAAGCATCGGAGGAGCCCCTTGGGAGCTTCTCCGGAGCCTCTCAGGATCATCTCAGACTCTTCGCGCTCGCGCCCGCGCAAAGGCGGGCTCAATGCCCCCCCGGCGCTGCGTCGTGAAATGGAGCGTGCGATTTGCATCTTTCAGATTTGAAGAGGAAGCCGCATTCACATGCCATCTTGGGGGGGCAGTTCAGCCCGACTCTTGGGACATGTGGGACCATCGGAAGCGCAAATGCGAGAAGACAAACAAAGCATTCTCCTTGCAGGTGGTCGACAAATGTTGGCCTCTCGGGGGTGAGTCCTGTAAGGCTGCTTGGCCACTTGTAATCGTCTAGCAGCGGACATGGCGCGTTTTGGAGGCATGCTTCAAGCTATCTTGGGTCATCTTCTGATATGTTGTGCGATCTTGACGGTCACCTTGAGGCTATCTGTCCCATCTTGGGCCGCCTCGGACGCCCTGACGACTCGCGACTGCGCCCGTTCTGACCCATGGAATGAGGGTAGGGGGCGCGGTCAAGCTGACCCCTTAGATTAGATTCCGAGGGGAAAGTCGCAAGCTGTTTCGCTCACCCCCACCCGACCTCCCAACAAATAGGTGGCATGTAATTCTGGGCCCCAAGCACCGTGCGATCATGGTCTGGGACCCCCCATGGAGCGGAGTGCTGGCACCAGCACCGACTCACAAAACATGGCATCATCATGAACCAATTAAGCATGGAAGCTCAGCGCAAAGAGCGCCACTTCGAAGAGTAAAACAAGGATGTCGTCAGCAACGCACAGCAACGGCACTACGACCTGTTCCCGCAGCGGGTGCTGAACACCTTGGGCGCGTCTGGCGTGGAGAAAGCTTCTCTCGGGATGCTGTGGGACGCAACGTGTATGTTGTAGAGTTTGTCGCAAGGACGGATATGGGGGGCCGTAGTTCACGTGGAAGCCAGATCCAGACGTAATGTGTGCTCATCGTGTTTGTTTCAATGGATTGTTCGGCGTGTCGCACGATCCAGATCCAGACGCAAATTTATCCCGTAGTGTTTTTTTACATGGATTGGGGGGCCTTCACCCAAAATCTGGATCTGCACGTAACGCCGTTGTGGTGGTGGTGGTGGCGGGGGTGCATGGTTCCAGTTCGCCCCCAGTGTCGTGTGGGGGGGAGGGAGTATGCGACTAAGAAGAAGTGATATACCTCCCAACGAAGGGCAAGGAGGGTGAGAGAGAGAGAGAGAGCGGTTTGCTGGCCGACCGGCGGGCCGGGCACCTGATCGCGGCGCGCGGCAGCGCGTTGGGGCAGCTCGAGTGGAACGGCGTGGAGGCAGAACCCAGCGTTGGACGTCGTCACAGAGCAATCGGACATCTCATGCCCAAAGGCCGGGGCGGAACGAAGAACGCTGGCATAGCGAAATCCTTGCACGACCTGCGCCCACAGGGCCGGGCGGACTGTTCCCTCCGACCTCCGCCCCCTCCAGCCAGGAGCGCCGCGCCTCGCGGCTCGCCGCTCCCGCGCGGGCGGCTGCCGGCATCGCGTCGGCGTCGGCGTCGGCTGACAGTCACCGGTGTCGGCGTCGGCGTTCGCGTTGCTGCACTTGTTTCATCGTCGTCGTGCCGTTTGCCGTCCTCGCCGTCGTCGTGCGTTTTCGTCGCCGTCCTCGTCGCCGGCCCTTTCTTTTGCTGGACGGCGTGGGCCTTCGCGGGCGCGCGCGAGGTCAACCAACAATTCAGGATCCTCCTCCTCCTCCTCCTCCTCCTCCTCCCTCCTCCTCCCTTCTCCCCTGGCGACGACGCCCCAGGCTGTCCGAGGGCTGGTGGCCGAACCTGGCCGAGCCGGGCTCGCTGCTGGTCTTCGAGCTCTACGAGGAACCCGGCGGCAGCGAGAGCGTGAGGCTGCTGAAGGCTCGTGCCGCCCCCACCCCTCAGGCGGACGGCCACGGGGAGCCCGGTCGTTGCGCATGTTCTGGCCTCTCCTTCTGCCTCGCCGTTTTCTCCACCGCTGCCCTGCTGCATGTTTCAGGCGTGCAGGGCCCTTGAGCGCCGTGTCGCGCTTCCCTCGGGGAGCGCGAGAGACAAGAAAGCGCAGCCTTTCTCGTTGCGGGCCCCGCTCTCATTCACATCACTGCATCCCCCATGCTCGTGAGTTGTCACCGTGATATCCGCAGGGGGGGCAATACATGTGGGGGGATCGAGGGCTGTTAGGAAGTCGGCCTCAAACGGGCCCTACACAGCCCGTAAACTGCCGCCGCGGGCACAAGAGGTCCACAAGACGTGCGCGTCTCTGCACCCCACGTTTCGTGCTCCGCCGCTGCGAACACCCGAACCCCCGCTCCACTCCTGACCACCACGGAAGCGGGCGGTACTACGCACGGGGGCGTTCCAGAGCTGCCGGGCCTTCCGAACCTCACATCTCGCAGGTTAGTGCATGTCCATATCCACGGCCTCGCTCTCAGGCAGCGGCCCCGTGGATACATGGAGAGGGAGAGATTTCATCGAGCCCATGCCGGATTCAATCCGATAGCCACGTTGCGGTCTTCATTTGATGGAACGCGTCGATTTCAAAGCGCGGCTCGGGGCCCTGGAGTGCCTCCTCCAATACCCTTGTGCCGATCTTCTATCCTGGCGCGTATATGCACGTGTCCGTCGCTCGTGCGAGCCCTCGACAGGTTGATCTCCCGACGCCGCCGCCGCCGCATTGCCGTGGCCGCCGCCACTGCCGCGGCCAGCGATGCCCGCGGTGTCGGCCGCGGTATCCGCCGCCGCCGACGCCGTCGCCGTCGTCGTCGTCGTCGTCGTCGTCGTCGTTGCGTCGGCGTCGTCGTCGTCGTCGTCGTCGTCGTCGTCGTTGCGTCGTCGTTGCGTCGTCGTCGTTGTCGTCGTCCTCGTCCTCGTCGTCGTCGTCATCGTTGTCGTCGTCGTCGTCGTCGTCAAGGCCGTCGTCGTCTTCGTCGTCAACGTCGTCGTCGTCGTCGTCGTCGTCAACGTTGTCGTCGTCCCAGGCGTCGTCGTCGTCGTCTCAGTAGTGGGTCTTCTTCCTCCCCGTCGTCGTCGTTCCCGTCGTCGCAGCTTCTTGGCGCCACGGTCTTCCGTTGGCCGGCCCCCGGCACGGCCCGGAAGGTGGCGGCGACCCCGAGGCAGCAGCGCCGGGCCGAGCCGCTCACCACGGAGGCGCGCCGCCCCGCGTGGGTGGAGGGGCCGCGTGCTGCGGGGGGTCTCTGGCGCCCTGCCGGTGCGGGCTGCCCGCCCTCCGTGATGGGCCTGTTTATGCTTTCCACCACCACCATAAGTTGGAGGGGGGAAGGAGGAGGAGGAGGAGGAGGAGGAGGAGGAGGAGGAGGAGGAGGAGGAGGAGGAGCTCCTCATCCTCCCTTCTCCCCCGTCCTACATATGGTAGTGGTAGTGGTGGTGGAAAATTTGCCCATCACTCCTCTCGCTGCTGCGGAGCCTGCCGTGGGTCGAGGAAGGCCCCGCGGCACGCGCGTGGGTCGTTGAGAGGAAAAGCCTCTCGGCGGCGAGCCCCCGGGTCCCTGGACCCTGGGTCAGGGGAGCTGGTTCGTGATTGGGCCCCGAGGCCCAGCAATGGAACAGAATCTCTAAACCAGGTTTACCGTAGATCGTGTTTCTTGGGGTGACGGCAGTTCCGATTAGTGGACTGGGCGGGGAGGGCGTCGCCCGGTACACAGTTCTAAACCAGGCCCTTTTGAGCCCAGTCCAGCCAACGCTAGACCATTGGGGAAGTGAAAGGGGGCGGGCCTTCTCAGAAGGCTCGGCAGTCCTCCGGAACGCTCTGAGGAGGCCGCGGCGCCCGAGGCATTCTCCAGAGCCGCCAGATCTCAGAGTCTCTCGATTTACCCTCACCCGATTTTATCCTCGTCCTGTCGTTGTCTGACTTTACTTCGGGCCTTCTGAGAAGTGTTCAAAAGCTTCCCCAGAGGCTGCAAAATTCTCAGAAGGCGCGAGGGTTTCGCAGAGGCCCCGCCACGTTTGAGAAGGCTTGCCCCCTCTCGCTTCCCCCAACGCTCGCCACCGAGTCTCAGAGACGCCATCTTCAGCGTCCTGGGGACCATCTCGTGGCCACCTGGAGCAAGGAAGCCGAAGGGGAGGCACCTCTTGTGGGCCGTGGGCGGGCTGGGCCGAGACCCCACTGGGATGAAGATCGCGGAGAATTAAAAAGAGCACTCGATGATGGGCCTGTTTTCCACCACCACCACCACCACCACCACCACCACCACCACCACCACCACCACCAACAACAACAACAACAACACCAACAACACCAACACCACCACCACCATAAGTTGGAGGGGGAAGGAGGTGGAGGAGGAGGAGGAGGATGAGGAGGAGGAAGAGGAGGAGGAAGAGGAGGACCCCTCCCCCTCCTACTTATAGTGGTGGTGGTGGTGGTGGAGAACAGTCCCATCACTCGACGAAAACTCACAGGCTGCGCAATCTTAACACACAGCTTTTGGAGAGCTCCGCGCGAGGCTTCTCGGACCGGGGGCGCGGTCCGTGGCACCTGCGCAGATCGCGGCGGGCCGCGTGTGGCGCGCTGGATGAGGAGGAGGAGGAGGAGGAGGAGGAAGAGGAGGGGGAGGGGGAGGAGGAGGAGGAGGAGGAGGAGGAGGAGGAGGAGGAGGAGGAGAAGGGGGAGGAGGAGGAGGAGGAGGAGGAGGAGAAGCAGGAGGAGGAGATTGTCGGGGGGGAGATAGGCCCACCAGCGACGACGACAACGACGACGACGACGACGACTTCGATGCTCTGCACGCGGCCTGGGTCGCGGCTGTAGCTCGGTGTGTGTGTGTGTGTGGTGAGTATGTGTGTGTGTGCGTGTGTGTTTGTGTGTGTGGTGAATGTGGGTGTGTATTTGTGTGTGTGTGTGTGTGTGTGTGTGTGTGTGTGTGTGTGTGTGTGTGTGTGTGTGTGTGTGTGTGTGTGTGTGTGTGTGTGTGTGGGGGGGGCACTTTGTAGTGGCAGCGCGAATTCTTTCACTGTGCCGGCTGAGGCGTGATAACACATGATGGTGTTGTGTTCTGTGGGGGAACAGATTGTCTCATGCTTCCGGGGCCCGGCGAGGGCCCCCAGATGACAAAACACGTAGAAAAGTCGCCCGTTGTGATTTGCGTTGCGGCGCGAGCATGTCTGGTAGTCGACAATCAAGGGCGTCTCCGAGACCGCCCTGCCCTCCCTCGGCCGGCATGGGCATGTCCCTCGCGGGCGGAGGCAGGGCGTTGCTCGCGGAGGGCGTCGGCCTGGGCCTCTCCCATGGAGGGCCGTTGGAGGGCTTCGGCGGCAGTGAAGGGGGAGGCCGTTTTCGACTGCACGTGAGAGTGACGCGTCGTGACCTTTCGGTGCGGGCCCACGGGCAACCCCCCGATCGTCGACTGCGATGCAAGAGCAGTGGCCTGTGCGCTTGGGTTTGGCCCCCTCGCGCCCCCCAGAAGCCACGCACCAAAGGTCACTCTTGCCTGTGGTCGCTCTTACATGCAGCCAATGTGTCTTTCATGATGTCCAGGCGTTGTAGTTTTTTAGCACCGGGCGTTTTCGCCCAGCTTCGGGCCCCTGGACCATCACAGGCGTCAATTCTGGCGCCGCCCTGGTGTCGCCTGCGGCGCTCCTGGCGCGCTCCGCGCATGAAGGAGGGGGGTCCGCACAGATCCAAGAAGTCCGCGCGGACCTCCGAAAGTGGTAGGTTCATGCCGTGCTTTGCTCCTCGAAGTGAGGGGGAGGCTCCCCCGAAAGAGGCGTGTCAGCTCTGTCTAGGTGGTTTTCTCGGGGGCCTGGGGAGGGCCACGATATGTTTTTCAGGTAGTGGGGGTTGAGAAGGCGCACCTCCAACCCGACCTGCACCCCCCCCCGCTGGGGCTGGGCCAAAGCGATTGCGAGGAGGTCTCGCAAAAATTGTACCAGAAGTACACCCTGCCTCGCGCAGAGGGGGGTCGGGAGAGGGGGGGAAAGCTTCTCAGAAGAAGGCGCGGGCCTGGTCTGTAGATGTAGGGCCCGCACCTTCTAAGAACCGTATGTATGCTAACGGTGTGTTAGCCAACGGCGAAGTAGGACAACCAATTGTAGGAAGGCGTGGCCCGTTGCCAAGCCAATGGTAGGAACGCGTGGTTCGCGTTGTCCTACAACTCGCTGTGTCGCTTTCCGTTCGATATCTTAGGGAAGTGTGCCTCGTGGTTTCCTGCATTTTGTTCTGCGCGAGCTCGGTGGCCACAACCAGCAGATGCCCAACACCGCCGTCGACCAAGCACGCCGTCAGCGCGGCCTTGCCCTCTCCCGCTGCCGCCCTCTGCGCGTGGTCGAATCCTTGAGCCGCTTCTGTTCCTTCTTCGAGCGCAGATGTCTCCGCCCAGATTTTCCAGATGCCCTCTTTGCGCGTGGTCGAACATTTGAGCCGTTGTCGTTTCGCTTCTTCGAGAGCCCCGCCCACGGAGCCTCCGAGCCTCACGATCGGCCGCGGCGGCGGCGGGCCGCGGCGTGGCCTCGGGCGCGCTCCTCGAGCCTCGAGCCGCGAGCCTCGAGCCTCGAGCCTCGAGCCGCGCGCCTCGAGCCTCGAGCCGCGAGCCTCGAGCCTCGAGCCGCGTTCCTCGAGCCTCGAGCCTCGAGCCGCGCGCCTCGAGCCCCGAGCCGCGAGCCTCGAGCCTCGAGCCGCGTTCCTCGAGCCTCGAGCCTCGAGCCGCGAGCCTCGAGCCTCGAGCCGCGAGCCTCGAGCCTCGAGCCGCGATCCTCGAGCCGCGCGCCTCGAGCCGCGATCCTCGAGCCGCGAGCCGCGATCCTCGAGCCTCGAGCCGCGCGCCTCGAGCCTCGAGCCGCGAGCCTCGAGCCTCGAGCCGCGTTCCTCGAGCCTCGAGCCTCGAGCCGAGCCTCGAGCCGCGGCCTCGAGCCTCACTCGAGCCTCGAGCTCGAGCCTCGATCCTCGAGCCGCGAGCCTCGAGCCTCGAGCCGCGAGCCTCGAGCCTCGAGCCTCGAGCCGCGAGCTCGAGCCTTGAAGCCGCGAGCCTGAGAGCCTTGAGCCTCGAGCCGCGAGCCTCGAGCCGCGAGCCGCGAGCCTCGATCCTCGAGCCTCGAGCCGCGTAGCCTCGAGCCTCCGGAGCCGCGTTACTCGCGCCTCGAGCCGCGTTCCTCGAGCCTCGAGCCTCGAGCCGCGAGCCTAGAGCCTCGAGCCTCGAGCCTATCACGAGCCGCGTTCCTCGACCCGCGAGCCTCGCACCTCGAGCCGCGAGCCTCAAGCCGGCGAGCCCCGAGCTCGAGCCGCGTTCCTCGAGCCCCGAGCCCGAGCCGCAGCCTCGAGCCTCGAGCCGCGCGCCTCGAGCCGCGAGCCCCGAGCCTCGAGCCGCGTTCCTCGAGCCCCGAGCCTCGAGCCGCGAGCCTCGAGCCTCGAGCCGCGAGCTCGAGCCTCGAGCCGCGTTCTCGAGCCGCGCGCCTCGAGCCGCGAGCGCGACTCGAGCCGCGTTCCTCGAGCCGTCGAGCCTCGAGCCGCGAGCCTCGAGCCTCGAGCCGCGACCCTCGAGCCGCGGGCCGCGTTCCTCGAGCAGCGAGCCCGAGCCTCGAGCCCCTCGAGCCTCGAGCGCGAGCCGCGAGCCTCGAGCCTCGAGCCTCGAGCCTCGAGCTCGAGCCGCGAGCCGCGCGCCTCGAGCCGCGAGCCCCGACCTCGAGCCGCGACCTCGAGCCGCGAGCCCGCGTTTCCTCGAGGCCTCGAGCCTCGAGCCGCGCGCCGCGAGCCTCGAGCCTCGAGCCGCGTTCCTCGAGCCTCGAGCCTCGAGCCGCGCGCCTCGAGCCTCGAGCCCGAGCCGCGAGCCTCGAGCCGCGAGCCGCGAGCCTCGAGCCGCGTTCCTCGAGCCTCGAGCCTCGAGCCCCGAGCCCGGAGTCGCGAGCCTCGAGCCTCGAGCCGCGAGCCTCGAGCCTCGAGCCGCGTTTCTCGAGCCTCGAGCCGCGTTCCTCGAGCCTCGAGCCTCGAGCCTCGAGCCGCGAGCCGCGTCCTCGAGCCTCGAGCCTCGAGCCTCGAGAGCCTCGAGCCGTCGAGCGAGCCTCGAGCCGTCCCGTCCCGTCGAGCCTCGAGCCTCGAGCCACGAGCCTCGAGCCGCGAGCCTCGAGCCTCGAGCCGCGTTCCTCGAGCCTCGAGCCTCGAGCCGCGAGCCTCGAGCCTCGAGCCTCCAGCCTCGAGCCTCGAGCCGCGTTCCGTGAGCCTCGAGCCGCGTTCCTCGAGCCTCGAGCCTCGAGCCGCGAGCCGCGAGCCTCGAGCCTCGAGCCGCGAGCTCTCGAGCCGCGTTCCTCGAGCCTCGAGCCTCGAGCCGCGCGCCTCGAGCCTCGAGCCGCGAGCCTCGAGCCTCGAGCCGCGTTCCTCGAGCCTCGAGCCTCGAGCCGCGAGCCTCGAGCCTCGAGCCGCGAGCCTCGTGCCGCGAGCCGCGTTCCTCGAGCCTCGAGCCTCGAGCCGCGAGCCTCGAGCCTCGAGCCGCGAGCCTCGAGCCTCGAGCCGCGTTCATCGAGCCGCGTGCCTCGAGCCTCGTGCGCGCCGCCCTCAGTCCTGGTCCACCACCAGCCGGCGCCCCCTCGTGCTCCACTTCAGGAAGGGCGTGCCGCATGCGGCTCGCCTCGTCCTCGGCGGAAGGAGCAACACGGCGGAAGCTGGGCGGAGGGCGCCAGCCTCCCCAGATCTCCGACGGTGTCAGTGTTCCAATCCGAGCGACGTTCCTCGATCTCGGCCTCCAGGGCCTGTCGCCGGGTCCCGGGGCCACCGCAGAAACGGATCCGGGGCGCAGAACTGCCCCAAGAGAAGAGGTCGGGGCATCTGGGGCCGCGGCCCGAAAACAAAACACGTAGGAGGATGTCAGGGTCAGCGAGACGTCAGCTCGTTTGGGGCCCTCGGTTCCCGGCGTCGGCCACGTGGGCTGCCCGCGCCGCTTCGAGGGCCAGCGACGCCGCGGCGCCCGCAGGCGCCCCCCTCCGTGGTGCCGCTGTGGATCCCTGGCTGCCGCGGCCTGTTCTGCCCGATGTCGCAGTTCGCCGCCCTTGCCGGAGCCGCCATACGGCGCGAATGCGTAGAGGAGGCCGCCCTCCTCCTGGCAGGTCGGGGTGGGAGATTCCAGGCCAGGGGTCGACCAAATCGCCGCCTTTGCGGTATCAGGGGTCGTCTTTGTTTCTGATCCACGCGTTCCTTCTGGCTTCGTTCTGGGGGCCACCACTGGCCGCTGGCCCATCACAATTCCGGATTTGCCTCGAAACGCTGTTTTGGACAATCGGTCTGCCCCTTTCCGTTTCAAACGCTGCAAAACGAAGACGTCACGAAAACGCAAATCACTGGTTTGGCCAACCCCTGTTCGAGACTGTGTGGCATTTGGGTTGCCACCTTCGTCGGATCTCCAGGGGGCTTCTCGTCGCCAGGGTTAGATTCCCCCCGAAGTTCCGGCCAGAACGCACCCGTGAAGAGGTCTGGGCGCACACGAGGGTACCCTGGGAGGGATTTGGGTGTTTCTTTTTCTTCCTTTCTCAGCCTCGGTGGCGGGGGAAGTGCACACACTCCCGGGATGAGCGGAGCCAGCCTCGGGGACGGGTTCGAGACCTCCAGGCGAACTCTACTCCTCCCTCCCTCCTGCTCCTCCGCCCCACTCCTCTGGTGCACTCGGCGAGGTGTGTCCGTCCGCCAACTGCCCTTCCTCCGTCCTCTCCCGCCCCGCCGCCCCCCCCGCTTCCCCCGCCGACGGGGAGTGAGGGCAAGGAGGAGGGAGGATTGGGGGAGGGTGCTGGGAGGGGGGGGAACTAGGAGGAGGGTAGGTGGAGGGGGGTGATGATGAGGTGGTGGAGGATGAGCAGCAGGAGGATGAGGCAGGAGGAGAGATGATGGGGAGGGTGCTAGGAGGGGGGGGGAAATAGGGAGAGGGTAGGTGGAGGGGGGCGAGGATGAGGAGGTGGAGGATGAGCAGCAGGAGGATGAGGAAGGCGGAGGAGGAGGACCAGCAGGAGGAGGAGGGCGAAGATGAATGATGAGCGAGCGATCATGCATGTTTGGGTTCGGTCGTAGCGGGAGGCGGCGGCGGGGTTGCGGCGTTGCATGGCGGCGCCGGCGGGACGCAGATCGATGATGTTGATGTTGGATTTGGTGTTGATGTTGTTGTGCATGTTGATGATGTTGATGGTCATGACGATGCTGACAATGATGATGCGGATGAAGATGAGACTGATGATGGCGATGACGATGACGATGACGATGACCATGATGATGATGGTGGTGGTGATGATGATGATGATAATGATGATGATAATGATGATGATGCTGACGATGACAATGATGCTGATGATGACGATGATGCTGATGTTGATGATGTTGCTGATGCTGATGCTGATGATGATGTTGATGCTTCTGATGATGATGATGCTGGTGATGGTGCTGGTGGGGATGCTGATGACGGTGGTGATGAGGAGTGATGATGTTGTTGCTGCTGATGACGATGAGGATGATGTGATGGTGATGATGATGATGATGCTGATGATGTTGATGTTGTTAGTGATAAGGAAGAGCAGGACGAGGATTATGATGAGGGTGATAGTGATGATACTCGTGATGATGGTGGTAGTCAAGAAGAGGTGACCATGCTTATAATGACGATGCTGATGGTGCTGATGATTATGATGTGTGCGATTGTGATGGTGGTGGAGAAGATGCTGCTGATGATGATGCTGATGATGATGATGATGATCATGATGATGATGATGATGATGATGATGATGATGCTAGGTTGGATGATGATGACATGATGGTGATGATGCTGATGATGATGCTGATGATGATGAGGATGATGATGGTGATGACGATGTTTACTATGAGTATGACTCGATGATGATGATGCTGATTATGCTGGTGCTGATGCTTATGATACTGATGCTGGTAATGATGGGGAGGATGATGCTGCTGATGCTTATGCTTATGCCGATGCTGCTGCTGCTGCTGATGATGATGCTGATGATGATGATGATGATGATGATGATGATAATGATGAGACTGACGATGGCAATGAGGATGGTGATGGTGATGGTAATGGTGATGGTAATGGTGATGGTGATTGTGATAGTGATAGTGATGGTGGTGGTGGTGGTGGTGGCGGTGGTGGTGACTATGAGGAGCGGCCGTGGCTGCGTGCCCCCGCAGGCCGCGGAGGGCGGCTCCGCGGGGGCGGAGTTTCGCCACCCGGAGGACTCGGCGCCGCTGCGCGGGATGCAGGCTCCGTCGGCCGCCGCGCGACGATCGTTTTTTTGTTTTGCTTGTTTTCGACCCCGGCATTTTTGACCCTCCTCTCAGCCCCTGGGGAGCTGAGGCAACGTCCCCAGGCTGTCCCCGCGCCGCCACGGCTGGATTCAGCTTGGAAAGCGAGTGCGTTTGGCCCCCAGGAGGGGCCAGGGGATCGATCTTGAGCTGCCGATGACTAACTCGCCCTGCTCCGACCGTCCCCTCCGCCTTCTCGCCCCTCCGCTGCTCTCCGCGGGCCCCTGGTCGCGTCGCACCTGAGATCCGGGCGCGGCATTTTTCCCACGAGGCGTGGATCCAGGACGCAAGAACGGTCGTCACTCCCTTTTGAGTGTGCGCATTGGAGCCTTCCGTCGTTGCATACCCGCCGTATGCCCTCGTCATCCCGCCATTAACGTCTGTTCCTGCCAACGGGGCTTCTGTTCCTGCCAACGGGGCTTTGGAAATCGGGCCCCTGCGGCGATGGATCCTGATGATGGTGGTGATGATAATGACGATGGTGATGGTATTGATGATGATGAGGAGGTGGAGGAGGATGATTGTGACGATGGTGTGGATGGTGATGGTAGTGTTGGTGTTGGTGATGAAGATGATGATGATGGTGATGATGATGATTGTGATGATCATGATGAGCTCGTCAGCATCAGTACCACCACCTTCCTCATCGTCATCATCGTCGTTATCGGGGGAAGAGGGGAGGGTGATCAGGAAGAGCATGGAAGGGGAGGAGGTCCACTGGTGGGAGAGCATGGTGAGATGCTGTTTCGAGGTCCACTGGCTTTGGGCGCCAGCGCCCGTCAGCGGGGCCACCCCGAATTGGGGGGTTCGCCATCCCCTCCTGGTCGACGACGACGACGACGACGACGACGACGACGGCGACGACGGCGACGACGACGACTGCCGGTCCCAAATCGGTTCAAAATCGGTCCCCAGACCCTTGCCAGGGTGCATTCGGATCAGTTTCCCGTCGGGGATCGACTTCTGGGGGCCCCTGAGTCCGAAGCCGGCCTCCAGAAACCGAAGTCGAGGAACAATCTCCTGAATCGATGATCGCTGGCACTGGTGTCCGTTTGCAATCTTTTGCAGGCCGGGCCACGTCGTGCCCGTAGCCTCGGCGGGGCGTGCGTCGAGAGCTCCGAATCCCCCATAGGTGCATACGGGAGCTGGTAATCCCCAGTCGTCGTCGTCGTCGTCGTCGTCGTCGTCGTCGTCGTCGTCGTCGTCGTCGTCGTCGTCGTCGTCGTCGTCGTCGTCCGTCCGTCGTCGTCGGCGGCGTTGCGGCGTCGGCGTAGGCGTCGGCGGCGGCGTTGGTGGCCGCGTCGTCGTCGTCGTCGTCGTCATCGTCGTCGTCGTCGTCTGAGCTGGTTCGGCGTCGAGACGGCGTGGCGCTGCCGTCGCGACGGCGACGGCTTCGGCGTAGGTGGGTCGGGCGTCGGGGGCGGCGTCGCGTCGGCGTCGGCGTCGGCGTCGGCGTCGGCGTCGGCGTCGGCGTCGGCGTCGCGTCGGCGTCGCGACGGCGTCGGCGTCGGCGTCGCGACGCGTCACGGCGTCGGCGTCGGCCGTCGGCGCCGTCGTCGGGCGTCGGCGTCCGCGACGGCGTCGGCGTCGGCGTTCGCGTCGTCCTTCGTCGTCGACGGCGTCGTCGTCGTAGAAATTAATAGTAGTAATAAGATCGAGAAAAAATGTTGAATACTTAACTATTGATTCGTCGTAGCCGTCGCCGCTGCCATCCACGTCGCCGTCGCCGTCGCCGTGCCCGCTGCCGCCGTCGCCGCCGTCGTCGTCGTCGCAGTCGGAGCCGCAGTCGCCGCCGCCGCCGTCGTCGTCGCCGTCGCCGCCACCATCGTCGCCCTCGCTGCCGTCGTCGCCGCCCGCCGCCGCTGCCGCCGCCGCCGTCGTCGCCGCCGCCGTCGCCGTGTCGCCTTCGTCGTCGCCGCCGTCGCCTTCGTCGTCGCCGCCGCCGTCGTCGCCGCCGCCCCCGTACCCCGCCCGCCGCCGCCTTTCCCGCCGCCGCCAGGGCCTGCGGGCCCCAGCCTCAAAATGGGTCCCCGGACCCTTTCGGGGTCCAAGTGCAAAGTTTTTCGAGCCGCGTCCGACCGCGGCGACGAGGGGGGGCCCAGGGCCAGGAAGCCTCGAACCTCGGTCCGCGAGAGTCGAACTTCGAACCTCGGCGCGCATCCCGTTTTCAAAATCAACGAAATCCGCGCAAAATCGGTCCCCAGAACCTCCCTGGGGTGCCTCCGACGCAGTGTTTTGGTCCCGGATCGATTTTGCGACCGTCCCAGGGCCGAAAGCTTCCTCGAACCTCGATGCCCGCTGTCTTCCCCGCCCGTTGGCTCGCGGTGCCCCGGCACCGCATTGCCCCCGCGGCAACCCTCCGCGCGGGCCGAGCGCCCGAGCGTCGTGTCGCCCTCTGGGGGTGGCACGACGCTCGGGCGTCGTCGTCGTCATCGTCGTCGTCGTCGTCGTCGTCGTCGTCGCCGCCGCCGTCGTCGTCGTCGTCGTCGTCGTCGTCGTCGTCGCGTCGAGCGGGCCAGCGGGGCGACGAGGCCTCGTCGCACCGCGAACAAGAGGTTCGGCTGTTTTCGGCCTCCGGGGGCCCTCAGAGGGCCCCAGGGCCGTGACCCAAAAACGACTTGGAAGGAAGAGCACCTCGCCGCGCCGCGAACGAAAATCATGACGGGAGGTTTTCAGCCGCTTTCGGATTCCGAAGGCTCCTTCCAGGGCCTTGGGACCGTCAGTAGAACCGGCTGTGACGGAAACCCCCTCCCCCGCGGGCTCCTGGGAGGGGGTGGCCGGGGGTGGCGGCAACGCGACCCCTGAGGATTCGAGACGGCCCGCGAGAACCCCAAAGTGGCTCGGGCTCGGGAATGGATGCTCAGGACGGACGAGGAGGGAAGCGGGGCGGAGGATAAGGAGGACGAGAGGGGAGGAAGGAGCAGAAGGTGGAGGAAGAGAAGGAGCGGGAGATTGAAGAAAGCGGGGAGGAAAGGGAGGATGAGGAGGAGCAGGGATCTTCTTCGAGGAGGCGGCGTCGAGCAGGAGGAGGAGGAGGAGGAGGGAGGGAGGAGGACTGGAATATACAGAACGGTTAAGAGGAGGAGGAGGAGGAGGACGACGAGGAGGAGGAGGAGGACAAAGACGACGACTACGAGGGGGGACCCAAAGCTGACGGTTGATGATGATGATGATGGTGACGATGCGGACGATGATGACGATGACGACGGCGACGACGACGATGATGATGATGGTGATGATGATGTCCACGTGCCCAGCTAAATTTAAAGCGGGTGCAAAGTGCGCGTACTTCTGACATATCTTCAAAAACTGATGTATAATAGGCTCCGGCTTACATGTGTACATATACACACATATGTACAAACGTATTTCTATGCATTTACACACATACATATACGTACGTAAAAACGTGGGCAGACCCGTCCGTTCAAGTACACACATACACATACATGCACTGCCATGGACAAAGTCTGCCAACCCGCGCGCGCACGCGCACATATGTGTAACCATACCACAACACTCATACAGTAGGTTCGCGTCGTGTCGACCGGCTGCGACCCCGCCGCCGGCGTTCAACGTTGAGCGCCGCCGGCAGCCCAGAATCGCTCGACGTTGAACGATCTGTCGTTGGGGGAACCGCCGATCGTTCAAGGTTGAACGATCCGCGCGGTGTCGGCAACCAACGCCGGGGTCGACGCGACGCGGACATGACGTATACATCTAAGTGTGTGCGCACACACATTCGCACATTCATTCACGCATACATTCGAAAACACATATTCATTCACATGCATCCACATGCGCTTACACGCATACAACTATGCATACTTGTATGTATATGCGAGTGTAGGCATTCACACAAACACACGCTTGCACACATAAACCAAACAGGGTCTTATATACATCCGTATCCATAAGTGCCGCACGGCCGAGAAGGCTCAGCATGTTTTACATAGGCGAGTGGGCGAACCCACTCCCATATGTGAAACATATCAGAAATCCAGCCGCGGAGGCTTTCTGTACTGCTCACATAGGCGAGTGGGCCGGCCTACTCCCCTATGTGAACCATACCAGGAATCCTCCTGCGGAGGCTGTCTGTACTGGTCACATAAGCGAGCGGGCCAGCCCACTCCCCCATGTGAGCCATGCCGGAAATCCGGCCGCGGAGGTTTTCCGGTTCTGGTTACATTGGCGAGTGGGCTGGCCCCCCCCCTATGTGAACCATACCAGAAATCCGGCCGCGCAGGCTTTCTGTTTTGTCACATAGGCTGGTGGGCCGGCCCACTCCCTTATGTGATCCGTACCAGAGCTCCGTGCACGAAAGGTGTGCGCGTGCGAGGATGAACGATCGCGCGCGAGCTGCAGCTCGGCGGTCGCACCTCCTCCTCCTCCTCCTCCTTCCCCGTTTCTCCCCCTCCTCCACCTCATCATCTTTCCGCCCTCTCCTCCTTCTCATCAGCACCCCCACTCACCCCCTCGTCATTTTAGGAAACGCCAACCAAGAAACTACAAATAACGCATAATCTAAATAAGAAAACGTGCAATCAGAAGGAAATCTGGTCATCAAATAACAACGTTGCTCAAAAGAACAAGCCATTCTCAAAACAACATACCGTACACCGTTGTGCAAGCAAACCACAAAAATGCAACCACATGCATGTATGAAACAAAACGTTGATCATGAAACCGCAACGTGGTGCAAAACAACAACATAAAAGTAACATATGATCATAAATTTATAACTTGGTGCAAAAACAATATTATATCATGAATATACAACGTGGTGCAAACAACAAACAAAACAACAATATGTTCATGCATGTACAACGCGGCGCAACAAACTCACAAAAACAAAGTCCCGATCATGAAAGCATAACGTGGCGCAACATCTACAATGAAAACGCATGTTTCTAATTCGTATTAACCAGTGTTAACGCAAATTCAACATTTAGCATACT